GTGGGAGAGGGTGAAGCAGGCTTCCCGCCGAGCAGGGAGCCTGATGCGGGGCTCAATGCCAGGACCCTGGGATCATGACCTGAGCTGAAGGCAGACGCTTAACGACTGAGCCACCCAGGGGCCCCGGGAGAGAGAATCTTAAGCAGGCTCCCCACTCAGTGCAGAATCCAATGTTGGGCTTGATCACATAACCCTGAGATCATGACCCTGAGATCATGGCCTGAGCCAAAATCAAGAGTCGGATGCTTAACTGACTGAGCCACCCAGGCGCCCCCAGAACATGTAAATTTTTATTTGTTCCATATGTTTTAATCAGTGCAGTATTTTTTCTTTTTTATACTGACATTATACCATCTATAGCCAATGAGGATTTTATTTATTTGTCAGAGAGAGCATGAGAGCACGCACAAGCAGGGGGAGCAGCAGAGGGAGAGGGAGAAACAGACTCCCCACTGAGCAGGGAGCCCAATGTGGGGCTCGATCCCAGGACCCTGAGATCATGACCTGAGCCGAAGGCAGACGCTTAACTGACTGAGCCACCCAGCATCCCTCATTCATTCATTCTGCAGCCGGTTGGCCTGATTGGCTGTTCATCCATCCATCCACCCACCCACCCTTCTATCCATCTATCCATCCATCCATCCACCCACCCACCAGTCTATCCATCTATCCATCCATCCACCCACCCACCAGTTTATCCATCTATCCATCCATCCACCTACCCACCCTTCTATCCATCTATCCATCCATCCATCCACCCACCCACCCTTCTATTCATCAATCCATCCATCCACTCACCCACCCTTCTATCCATCTATCCATCCATCCACCCACCCACCCACCAGTCTATCCATCTATCCATCCATCCACCCACCCACCCACCAGTGCATCCATCATCCATCCATCCCAACATGATTTTCCTCCCTAAGCCCGCCACACTTAGGACACATTGCTGTATGGGCCGGGGGTTCCTTTAGGGGCACCCCACCTGGAGAGCTGGAAATAATGTCCTGTGAGGGGCTTCTGAGAACAGGCTGAGGGAGGATGTGTGGGGGAAGGAAGGAGAGGGGAGGTGCAGGGAGGCTGGCTGGTGTGTGTGTGTGTGTGTGTGTACACGTGTGTGTGTGTGTGCGTGTGTAGGGCAGCATGAGGATGGGGGTTGTTGCTCAGGGAACAGAGCTTGTCGGGGGGGCAGCATGAGGGTGGGTCACATGGTGAGGGGCAGGGACACAGAGCAGCACCTCCTCACAACCCTTTTCTAGCACATTCACGCTGTTCCGGCTCCTGTCGACTGAGCACACGTTTGCCTTCCATTTCCTGGCTCCTTTAGGGACACGATTCCCCTGAGCACGGGCCAAGGGGTCTGGAAGGAACCACTGGTGTTTCCACCATGTTTATGGGTGCATTTGAAAGGGCATGCTGTTATCTGGTGCTACCTTTCCCTTTCACTAAAGAGGGAACCGAGGCCCAGAGAGGTGAAGTGACTTACTCAGGGTTGCACAGCTGCTGAGTGGCAGAGTCGGAAGGTAATTTCTGCTAGCTAGCTGGGGCATTCGGTGCCGGAGGACTGGTCTCCCCCAGGGAGATGCGTGGGCTGCAAATATTAGGAAGATAGCTTGTGGGAAAAGGGCATTCATCTGAGGACTCGGGTGTCTGAGGCGGGCCCAGGGCCTGAGCTGCTGAGCTGCCAAGATGCCTCTTTTGTTCCCGAGTCTCACAGGCATGACTCAGCTGCTGAGGGTGCTGGCCTTTTGCATGGTGCAGGGCTTGATGTCCTCATTCTGCCAATCCAGAGATGCTGGGGAGGAGACCTATAGGCTGAGTGTCCGGGTGGGGCTGGCCCCTGCTCAGCCACCTATGTCCGCTCTGGAACCTGTGGGCAGAGCAGGGGCCTGGGAGGAGGCAGGGCAGCTTCCCGAGGACGGGGTGGTGGCGGAGCAGACACCATAGGCATCCACTACAGAAAGGAGGACCATTAGTGAAGCCCTACTGTGTGCCCAGCCACCACGCCAAGTGTGTTATGTGGCCCCAAATTTCATCTCTGCAACGACCCCATCTAGTAGGTATTACCAGCCATACTTTGCAGATGAGGACACCAAGGCACAGAGAGGGGAGGCAGTTCCTCCTGGGCCACACAGCCAGGGGAGCAGTGACCCAGACAGACCCAGGCCCGTTTTTTAAATTCAAGAACCCGGAGGTAGAACGATAGCTCCCTCTGGACTGGGGACCCTGAGAAACTTGTATGGAAATACAGTCCCTGTTTGGCCCAAAGATAACGGCATGGTAATGAGGTGTTTATTGGATCTGTCTGCAGAGGACATCTTTGATGAATTATTTAGGCTGGCTCCGGAGAAAGTGAACACGGTGAAAGAGGTAAGAGAGATCAAAGCTCCCAGTCGCGCTCCCGCTTGTCCACCCTGAGTCCTGCAGGATGAAGGGGAAGGAACAAGGCCCTCGCTCCTCACCTGCTGTGCTTCGGAAGCCACGCAAGGGGCTTTCTGTCCCCTCCCGAGCGGGAAGGTGGCAAACCGGAGCCCTGGGCCTAAGGTCCTTGTCCTTCCTCGGGTAGGCCATTGTGAACTTTGTCAACCAGAACCTGGACGGCCTGGGCCTGTCTGTGCAGAACCTGGACACCCAGGTAGGGACTCAGCCGTGGGGCCCCCAGGCAGGGAAGGGCCATGGGGTGCAGGTGGGGAAGAGGGTCCTGCGGGGCCCTGGGAGCCGGGTCCTGCCCCTGTGTGGCCCAGGTTGTGTCGCCTCTCAGAGCCGTGGGGTCCTCCTCTCTAGTGGGGGGCTGTTGCTGGGAGGTAGCCTCACCAACCAGGGACACTGCGGGGATCTCGCGAGGCAGGGACTGTGGGTTCCCCCATGCGGTTGGAGCCCCCCTCGTGTGACTGCATTTGCTCATGGTGTCACGTGCCCGGCGCTGTCTTAGAGCCTCTGTGGGCCCCCCAGTTGCCCAGCCCGCCACAGCTGACTTCACCGAGTGCCACCGTGGGGCAGGACAGAATCTTACCAGTCAGCCTTGTGCAGGGGGCCACGGCCTTCCATGAGGACACCGTGCACCCGTAATGCCCCCTCAGCACAGAAGGGAACAGAGAAGCTGGGAGGCTAGTTGTCAGCCCGGGGCCTTCGGGGGGCGATGGAGCCTGCTGGCCACTGGCCTCATCCACCTGCCACCATGTTTCCGCCCATGCAGCGTGGTGGCCGTGGGGGAGGGAGGTGGAAGGCAGGTCTGGCCCCCGGTGGGCCAAATGGCTTATGGTGATCTTAGCCAGAGCTGCTGACTTCTAACGCACCTGGCATTAGCCAGCGAGGGATGGGCTGCCAGGTACCTAAAGGCAATAAAGTCCTCACTATGTGCCAGGCCCTAAACAAAGTGCTTTACATCCAGTAACTCCTGCATCCTCCTGACAGTCCCTGCGCGGGGAGCAGATACTACCCCATTTTATAGATGAGGACACTAAGACACAGAGATGCCGAAGAACTCATGCAAGGTCACCCAGCAATAGAGCAGAGGACCCGGGATTTGAATCCGGGGTGCTGAGGCCCACAGTTTGTGCGCATCAGCACGTCCCACGGTGGCCACAGGAGAAGCCGTGTGTGACATGGTGTGGTGATGTGGCAGGCTGGCGATACCAGGCTCTGGACCTGATGGGTACCAGATGGACACGTGCGGCCTGAGCTCCAAGGACACCTCCTTCACATTATCTGCGTGGCCTTGGCTTGGCCTTCTCTGAACCTCAGGCTCCTCTTCTTTTAAAATGAGTTTAAGGAGACCAGCCTCATAGAATTGGGAGCGACAAATAAGATGATGAACCTCTGGTGTTTACCATAGGACCTGGTACACTGTGGACATGCCATAAATGCTGAATTTGGGGTTTTATTATATCTTATGTGGGTATATAAGGATGATCCTGTAGGTTTCCATTTTACCTGCTTCTCGTCTTTCTCTCTCCCTTGGCGAAGGAATGGCGTTCAGAAAATAATGATATGTGGGAGGACCGTATGTAGAGACTGTCGGATAAAGGGAGAAGTTGAAGTCCCTGGTATTTTGGGGGTATTACCAGGGAATATCAGCAGAAGAGATTTCAGACCGAACTAATAACATCGGAACAGACTTAATATGGGGAAATTCTATTAAGGACTTCGAGTGGTGGTTTTCCCTCCAATAGCTAATCTTGTGTTTTGTATCTTTGAAGAGATTGAGTAGGATTACGCTAGGATATGATACGCTGCTGGCGGGCTGACGGCTTTATCTCTGACCATACAGACCGAGCAGGCAGAAATATTAATGTGGCAGCCAGCAAAATGAGCCCCGTGTGCTGTTCTCTGCCTCTTCCGGAGGAATAATTTTACACCCAACTCTGTTTTCTCCTGTGCTCCTGTAGCTCACGGATCAGTATGTGGTTTAAAAAGCAATATTCAGCTATCTCACAAGATAATGTGAAAAGAACCTATTTTATGGAGCGTGTGGTCTGTGTCAGGTGGCCAGTGAGTGCTCGCTACCTGCTGCCGCCGATGTTTACAACACACTGCAAAGGTCGGGGATGTTGTCTTTAAGTCTCAGAAAGACAGTTGAGACTCAGAGAGGTGCGTGCTTCCTGCAGCACCACACAGCCCGCAGGAGGCAGAGCGGGAGGCAGAGTGGGAGCCCTGGGCCGTCTGCCTCCAACGCTCTCCTCTGCAGTTTGCAGACGGGGTCTTCTTACTCTTGCTGATTGGACAACTGGAAGGCTTCTTCCTGCACTTGAAGGAATTCTACCTCACTCCCACCTCTCCTGCGGAAATGGTAAGTTTTCCAGAGGTTTCCTTGATGTAGGCCTTATGGAGTTGGCAATACCAGTCTCCTTATTCACTTCCAGGAGAAGTGAAGGGTGGAAGGGAAGTTTGTTTGGTTGTCCATATATCTACCCATCCATCCACCCATCTACCCAATTCATCTGCCCATTCACCTGCCTGCCCATCCATTCATCTGTCTATTTATCTACTCATCCACCCATCCACCCATCCATCCATCCACCCATCCATCCATCCACCCTCACACATATCCATTGACTTGCCTATTTGCCCATCTACCCAGTTTATTCATCCATTCACCTGCCCACCCATCCATCCATCTGCCTACTTATCTGCTCATCCATCCATTTACCTGCCCATCCATCCATCCATCCACCCATCCATCCATCCATCCATCCATCCATCCATCCATCCATCCTCACACCTATCCATTGACTTGCCTATTTGCCCATCCACCCAGTTCATCCACCATTCACCTGCCCACGCATCCATCCATCCATCCACCCACTTATCTGCCCATCCATCCATCCATCCATCCATCCACCTCTCCAGCCCCCATCTGCCATCTGATCCTTCATTTCTTGAGGTCCTGCTTGGTGTCAAGCTGTGGCATGTGGGTCATAAAGATAGTCCCACACAGCTCCTGTTTTTGAGGGCTTCTCAGTCTATACCCACTGTACTCTCAGTGATGTGTGGTTCCCCAGGGCCACAATGAAGTGTGTTGGTTCAGGGAGGGTGGGTCAGTTGGAGACCCAGAGGAAGGAGCGGTTGCTATGATCTGAAGGAGTCTGGGAGGGCATAAGAGGTGACACATATTGTTGATCAGCATTTGCTTTGCAGAGTGAGGGCACCCCAAGGGGAGGGAACAGCATCAGCAAAGGTTCAGGTGTGGACAGAAGCACGGAAATCTCAGGGTTGCGTCCATCTGTGGTTTGCGCTGCTGCAGGGGTGGGCCAGGGCATGGCAGGGGTCAGGAGTCTCCCTGTGGCCTCTGCAGGCTGGTAGGCTGCTTGCGGGACGTCTACACCAGTCCAGGCAGGAGGGTCTGCGTCCTGACCCGGGGAAGCCGGGGAGAGGATGACAATGCTGGTGGCAGTGACAGGCTTGCCTACATCCCCACGCACAGCCTCCCCGCCTGGCGGGCTCCCATTCCCCTGCTCTGCTCTTCAGCCCACTGGCCTCCCCAGCCATCCCGCAGGGCGCCACGGTGCTAGAGCTCCTGCGCTCTCCCCGCTCGGGGTATTGCCCGGGCTGTTCCCCTGCCGGGAAGGCCCCTTCCACAAGAGACATCGACCTGCCAGTGAGGGCAGGGGATTCTCACTCCTCTGCAGATGAGGGGCAGCACCGGACCCCATCATCCGGCCCCACGTCGGGGCAGACGTGGCAGGGGAACCAGAAGCCTCGGTCCGGTCCCTGCTCCACCACCAGCTCACGGCCTGCACCTTGGGCTTCTCGTTTCTTCCCCGTGGGCTCACAATCCCTGCCCTGCCCACCCCTCAGACCACCCAGACGGAGTCTGGAGGGTCACAGAGGGGAAGCATCGAGGGCGGGCGGTCCCTGGGGCCCCTGGCCTGCTCGGGACCGGCCAGGAGTCTTCGTGAGCATCAGCCCTACCGGAGGTGATGCTGGAGGCGTGGCTGAGATGCGCTAGAGCACTGGGCAGGTGGCGGCCTGCCCAGGACCCCAGGTGGCCTGCTTAGCTCTGTCCACGCCAGGGTCGCTGTGGCCCGCTGGGAGGCACCCCCTTTATCTCTCCACAGTGGCTTCTTCTGTAGAGCAGGAATACGAAGCAGGGCTGCAGGCCAGTTCCCAGAGCCAGCCTTGGGGCCGTTTGTGGGAGAAGGAAAGATGTCTGTCCCTTTGGCCTGCCTGTGGCCCTGGGGAGGGTGAGAGCCGCAGTCCTGGGGATGGATCAGACCTGTGCTGGGCCACTGGGAGGGCCCAGGAGGGTCAGAGCCCAGCTGAGGTGGTGGTGCTTACCCTACAGCCAGAAGGCAGAACACGGAGGTGGGGGAGAAGGCAGGAAGATGGAAGAGCACAGGCCACACACAGGCCAGGGAGCCTGGGGTAGGGGCTCAGAACCGGGACCCAGAACAGCACTGGTGTCCCCTCTTGGTTACTTAGGTGTTGGGATTCATGGGACTTCAAAGCCTCTGCCCAGGATTCGGCATGCTCGCAAACCCCAGTTACAAGCCAGGGACAAGCATTCTTACTCCTGATGTCCCTGGGGGCCGTGAGCCCGCTCTAGCCACCGATTTTAGAACCAACTTCCCAATCTGAGCCATACTGCATAGCGGGGGCGAGAAACAGCCTCTTTGCTCAGACCCCAAGAATGAATTTTTATAGGACATTGTAGGTAACCTCAGCCGCAGGAGCGTATGATCAAAATGCCAAAGAAGTTATTAGCTGGAGGGCGGGGACCACAGCCCTCCGCCGGTGGGACACCCGAGGAATCGTACCTAATCTTGGCAGAGTGTCCCCTCGAAATTGGATGCCTTATTATCACACCTTCCTTGCCACTGGTGTTTATGTGAGGCCGTCATCCCTTCCAGGAAGACAAGCGAGGGACAGAGGGAGGGAGGCGACTGTCTGCTCTGCAGAAATCAAAACACTGGCATCGGGAATCGTGGGCTTCCTCCCACATTCAATTATTTCTCCCTGGGAGGATTTGAGCACATCCTCCTGGATTACAACCTGCCCTCAGCTCCGTGCAACGTGGTGGTTTTACTTTTATAATCTCAGGCCGTGCATGGAAGGGAAGTGACACCAGGGGTAGAGCATGCTGAGACGTCTCTGGAGCCTGCAGGGCTCAGGTCGAGTATGGGCTTGACGAGCTGAAGCAAGTGTGATCATTTTTATAGTGTCAAGAGACAGTTCTCAAGGCACCAACTCCATGAGGGCAGGGAGGGGGTCTGGTTTGGCCCCCTGCTGCACGGCCAGCCCATAGTAGATGCTCAATAAATGTATTTTAAATAAGCGAGTGGACAAAGTGTTTCCAAAACACTGGTCCCACGAGGTGCTCCACGACAAGTGGATCCTATGGTCAAACAGCTTGGGAAACCAGCTTTAGACCTGCTTTGCCCCACACCAGGCCGCTGTCCCCAGGAGAAGGGCAGGGTCTTTTTGATTGTATTGAGGCCTAAGGGAGAAACTAGCCACGAATAGGGAAAACCCCGCTAACAGAGCGTGTGCTTTGAGCCAAGGGCTGTCCGGGCCCCCCTGGGCTCCTACCCGGCACCCTGGATCAGGACACGGGGCAGATGGTGGTGACTCCACTCTGCAGGTGAGCAAGGTAGGCCCAGGGGTGCCAAGCGACTTGCTGGAAGTTACCCCATGAGCAGGGATCTGAACCCACGAGCGCCTCGGCATGGGCGGCTGCTCCAGCCTCCAGCCCACTTTGCACGGACATCAGAGTGAGACAGACCTGGTTCTGCCACTTTCCATCTTGTAAGCTCGTGTGAGCCCCTTGGCCACTCTGCACCTTGCTCTCCTCAGCTGTTTCCGATGGGGCCTCTGTTGCCCACAGTGCTGGGGCTGCATCAGAAAAGGCCAGGATAAACCTGTGTTCTTTTCCCTGCCTAAGTCTCCTTGCCCGGCAGGACTTACCTCTAGGTGTCACCTCCACCAGGAAGCCTTCCCTGACCTCCGGACCAGACGCCCCTCCCCATAACTGCCTTCCCCACTAGAGGTGGCCTCCTTGAAGTGTGAGGCCTGGGACTTGGGGGCCCAGGCCTGGGTTGGGGCTAACATCTGGTGGGCTCTTATCACAGCTGCACAACGTCACCCGTGCCCTGGAGCTGCTGAAGGACGAAGGTCTGCTCGACTACCCCATCAACCCCGAAGGTGAGAGCGTGGCCCACGTGGGTGCTGCGGTGTCGGGGGACGGCCTGTGTCGGGGTGGTCCTCTTGCTCGGCACGGGGCCTTCCCACGACGGGAAGACAGCTTCCACCCACCCTGCTGGAGGAGGGGGCCCGGGGAGAGGACACAGGCAGGGGACTGGGGACCCCAGGGCAGGCTGTCCAGACGGATGAGACCTTGAGGAATTATATGTGGGGGGCACCGCAAGAGGGTGCAGGGGAGGACTGGGTGGGAGGAGGGAGGCAGGGCCATGTGATGGGTCCCAGGACTCAGGCCTAGCATGACCAACCGTCCTGTTTGACCCCGGGTTTAGCCCTGACGTCCCGTGTCCCAGGAAGCCCCTCGTTCCCGGGCCAAGTGGGACTGTGGTCACCCCCCTCCTCGCCCTGGCCGAGGCCTCACCAGCTGTCCTGCTCTCCTCTGGCCCGCAGACATTGTGAACAAGGACGCCAAGAGCACGCTGCGCGTCCTCTACAGCTTGTTTCGAAAGCACAAGCTGCAAGAAAGCACAGATAGCATGCCCCGTGGATCCCCCAATTAGCGGTCACTGCCCCAGAAGCTGCTTCCCGGAGCCTGCCTGCCTGCAGCAGCCGCGGGAAGACCCAAGGGCCCCAGAGGGACCTGCCCCACCGCACAGCCCGTGCCCCCCGTTTCCTGTGTGTCTGCGGCGTGCCGGCCCTGCCCCCACCCCCATTCCCGTGTCCAAGTATCTTTGAACTCAGCAGGCATGCATGGATCTGTTTTGAGCCACCCCCTGGCCTCACTCAGTTTATATTAACAAGTGTTATTTCTGGGAGGGATCTGGGGAGGCTGTAGTGTCCTGGGAGAGACAGTTCAATCTGCATGTGTACGAGCTCACCCCCCTCCCCTCCCCAGTGCAGCTCCCCTTCCCACGGGCCAGGCGTGGAAGGTGCTCAGAGTCCCATCTCCGAGGGCACCCGTGGGGGCAGCTGAGAGCCCAGTGATGCTGACCTTCCCTGAGGCTCCAGGGCCTGAACTTGGTAGCAGAAAGGACTCTTGGGTGTCACGGCAGATGGCCAGAGGCCCCAGCCTGCCCACAGTTAGCTATTGCTAGCCTGTCTCTCCCTCAGGCGGATGGACGTGGCTCCAAAACCAAGCCCCCGAGCCCCTTGGGGCAGTTAAGTTGGTTACTTGCCAGAGGAACCGTGGGCCAGGCCCCACCCCACAACGGTGGCAGAGAACCTTGCCCAGAAATCCCGAAGGAGAAATCTTTGTGGTCTCCCAGTCTGTCCCGGGGAGGGGCCTTGCTCTCTCTCTGCTGAGACTTGGCACTTGCTGCCTATGTTTCGCAAAGAATAAGTCCCTGGAGGAGGGCTGACCATGGCCGTCCCAGTAGCCGACGTGGGGCGGGAACCAACCAGGACAAGGCACAGGGGCCAGGGGGGCAGGGCTGACAGGGGAGGGCTGAGGTGGGCCCCCCGGGGCTGCCGCTGGGCTTCTCCCCTGCATTCCCAGCTCAGGACCTCCATCGAGGACAGAGCCCGCTAGGTCTGGGGTCATCACAGTTTGACGGCCTTGGCCTTGGGGAGGGGCTTTGCGGTAGGGGGCTGGTGCGGGCCAGGCCATCTCTGCTCCCCGGGGCCGCCGCCACCGCTGTGCCCGTTGGGAGCATTACCTGTGTATCATCCGGAGTATCTCCTGCTCTGAAACCTCCTTTGTCTGATATTAATACAGCAAGGTATCTTTTCCGTCTTTCTACTTTCCAACTCTCTGTGTCTCTGTATTTAAAGAGGATTCCTTACAGACACAAATAGTTGTATCTTTCTGACCAATCTGAATGCCTCTGCCTTTTAATCGCAGGATTCAATCAGGTTTTTTTTACTGTGGTAAAACACACTCGATAGGCTGGCCATTTTGGCCATTTTGAAGTGTATGGTTCGGTGGCATCAAGTACCCTCAAAGTGCTGTGTAACCATCACCACCATCTGTCCCTCGAATTCCTTCCATCTTGCCAAACTGAGACTCTGTCCCCCTTAGACAGTAACTCCATCCCCCACCCCCTGCCAGCCCCTGACACCCCCCATCCCCTCCCCCTTCCTGACCAGACCCAGGGGCGCAGCTTCCCTTGGGGGACCCACCCCACTCTCCATGTCCATGTCAGAGCTCGCCCCTTCCCTTGTCCCACCTCCTGATGCCCCATCTCAGCCTCCTGGCCCCCAGGCCACAGATCCATGGCTCATCCAGAACCCCTTCCCGGGGAACCAAGTCTTGCCCTCAGCTTGCCTCTTAAACTCACACCCTCCTCTCTTCTCCTCTGCCTCTGGAGCTGTCCAGGCTCTCACCCCCATGCGGGGCCAGGATACGGTGACTCCGCAGCTGGGCTCTCTACTTTTCTCCCCTTTGACCCCAGCTCCGCACCAACACTTGGGGTTTTTCTGTCCTGGGATCGTGATTACATTAGTATCCTGCTTTAAATTCCCCCTGGTCCCCAGCCTCTCCGCAGCATCCGATGCCCTGGGCCCTCCCGGCATGCCGGCCTTGTGGTCTACCCCCTGCCCCACCCCAACCCTTCCCGTCTGCTTTCAGCTCGGTTTCCGGGCCTTTCTGCTGCTGCCCCTGCCTGAGATGCCCATCCCCCTGTTCCAGGAGCTTAGTTTTCACAAAGTGACGATCCTTGAGGAGTCAATGAGGGAGGGGGAGCCCCCGGTGGCATGGGGTGGACGCCTGGGGGTCCTGCCTGGCGCTTGGAGGCTGTGGAAGCCATAGGTCTCACAGAGGAGACCAGGGAGGCGGACAGGGAGCCCTTCCCTCCGTTTAGCTGGCTGTCCCTGCCCCCCACCCTGGGGAGTCTGACTCCTGCAGGGGTTGCGGGGGAAGTGGGAAGAGGGATGATGACAGTGGCTGAACGGGAGGACAGGCAGGCCTGAGAAGAAGCTGGCAGTCTGGGGCCGGGTGTGCAAACAGCTTTGGAGTGACGGGAAATGCCTCGAAGGAAGGCCGGGGTGCTGCGGAGTTGAGCCGCTTCCCAAAATAATCCAGGGGGGCAGCTGTCGCAGATTCTGAAACTGGGTCTGGCTGCCTGAGCGGCAGGAAGCCCCGGGCCCCACACCAGCCCCACTCTGGGAACAGATGGCACTAGGAATATTTTTTCTTTTACCAAAGGCAGCTGGTAAGCGAACAGCTTGTCTGGAGAGAAGTGTGTTCCTCCCTGCTCTCTCTCTCTCTGGCAACAGATCAGTGCCGCTACCTCCCCTCCTCCAGTCCCTGCCCCTATGGGCTCTTTCTCTGTAAGAGGCAGGGGGACATCACAGGCCTTTCTTACCTGGGAGCTCGTGGGGTCCTCACCCATGGGTGGGTTTAACTTAGGGAGCGGCCAGGGTGCCTTGATCTTGGGGCAGCAGGTTCTGGGAGTCCTGGCTGGTTGGGCAGTGGATGATGGGGATGTCCCGGACATGATTCTTCCAGGAAGAGCCAGCCAACTGATCTGGGTTGGCCAAAAACTGCACGAATTCATTCAATTATCCACGAGCATTTCAAATCGATCGGTATGCTTATTGCTTGTAAAGGTGATACATTAAGGCACAGATGGGATTTTACATCTGTACAAATCATTGCGCACAAGCCATTCCTAATAGACCTTCCCTGAGCACCTGCCAATGTGCAGGCGCTGGGCTCAGAGCTGCGGATATAGAGATGGTCAGATGGAGGTCCTGTCCTGGAGGAGCTCAGAGCCCCATCGGAGGAGGCAGGGAGGTGCGGTGGTTTCAGTGCAATGCTTGAGTCAGATTCTGGGCGGGAATCCTGGGTGCATCCTCCACCTTCTCTGTGATGCAGGGTGAATCACTCACCTCCTTGAGCCTCAGTTTCCTTCTCTGTCAGACGGGAGCAAAGGAATCTGCTTTTTGTAGGGTTACTATGAAAGTTAAAGAAGAGAATTCATCTGACCTTGTAATATTGCTGGGCACATAGTGTTCAATAATGTCAGATGGCATCACCACCATCACCACCATCACCACCATCACCACCATTATCAGCATTATTATCACCATCATTATCACCACCATCATCATCACCATCACCATCATCACCACCATCATTATCATCATCATCATCATCACCATCACCATCATCACCACCATCACCATCATCATCACCACCATCACCATCATCACCACCATCACCACCATTATCAGCATTATTATCACCATCATTATCACCACCATCATCATCACCATCACCATCACCATCATCATCATCA